AGTTATGGATCTTGGGAGATCGCAATATGAATTTATGACTGAATGACAACATTACTGTTTCAAAAGTTGATCGACATACACTTCGCACTTTCAGTGGTGGTTGGGATGTATGCCTGCATTCGAAAATTGATCAGATCACAGATCAGCTCATTAGAAAACGTGAGAATTGCGACCAGCTAGCACGATTGGTTGACACGAGTCAACAGTCTCCACCTATCCATATATCGATCACTGGTGAACAACATGACACAACTATGCAACTACTACTAAATTGCAATTTATGCTGTCAACCAGATCACATACCGTCGTCTGGCTATTTTAGGTTCGCAAATAAATATAGAAATGCTGTTCTAAATGAGATTTTCCCTTTAAATATGCATAGAGACTTAAATTCTCAGAGTTGCACAGTCCAAATCTCACATCCACTACACATACCCTTATGTAGGTCACTACTATCTAAGGAGTTGTTGTTTTTATTCCTTTACGTTCCCAGTAGAACATAGGACTTCAAGCTAGAGCTCTGAATTTTCGGTAGCAGTGGAGTTTACTTTTACGGGATGGGGTTGGTAGCCTCATGCCCAACCTTCCTTCTTTACCAGTCCTGTTTCTGGCTTAGCGAGGTAAGGGAGTGCGTTGGTGGCCGGGGATCGAACCCCGTCTAAGGAGTTAGACGAAGGTATTGCACTCAAGTAAAAGACTTGATTACTAATTCATGCCTACATCAGTGTGGACTTTTCAAATTTAGAGAAAATCTTCATGTAGATACAATTAGAAGAAAAAGAGGATTGCACGAAGTCATATTTCCTTTTCAATTAGATCCCCATCAATGTCGCCAGTCTAATATAATTATTATTATTATTATTATTATTTCCTTTAGTTCCTAGAGGAACATAGGGCTTCAGCCATGCGTCTCCATTGCGTTCGATTCTCTGCTAGAGTTTTCACCTGGCTCCAGGTCTGCCCACATGCTTTCATCTCCTCTTCACATGATCTCCTCCAGGTCACCCTTGGACGACCAACTCGCCGCTTCCCTTTCGGGTTCCACTCGAGGGCTTGTCTAGTGATGTCACTTGCTGGTTTCCTCAGAGTGTGGCCAATCCATCTCCATTTTTTCCTGCCTATTTGTTTCACAATGGGTTCCTGGTTGGTTCGCTCCCAGAGATCTTTGTTGCTGATCCTTTCCGGCCATCTGATCTTGAGTATTGAGCGAAGACATCTGTTAATGAAGGTCTGTAGCTTGTTTGAGGTGCTCTTTGTGACACGCCAAGTCTCTGATCCGTATAGTAGTACTGACTTCACATTGGAGTTGAAAATCCCGATCTTATTTTTGACGCTGAATGATGTTGTCCTCCACACAGACTTCAGAGTAATGAAAGCTTGCCTTGCTTTCCCGATCCTTGCTTTGATATCCTCGTCAGTTCCGCCTGTAGTTGAAACAATGCTTCCCAAGTAGGTAAAGGAGGTAGTTTCTTTCAGGTTTTTTCCATTTATGCTGATTGCTGTCTGTTGTTGTTGTTGGTGTTGGCCAGGGATCTTCATCACCTCTGTTTTCTCTATGTTCACCTGGAGTCCTATCTTTGATGCTTCTTCTGCCAACTTGTTGCTTTTCGCTTGCATATCTTCCAGTTTGTGGGAAATCAGGCATATATCATCGGCGAAGTCCAGATCCTCCAAGTTCTTTGTGTGAGTCCATTTTATGCCTGTTTCCTCATTGCCCGCTGTTTGTCGCATTATCCAGTCTACTGCAATCAGGAAAATCATTGGCGATAGTAGGCAACCCTGTCTTACTCCTGTCTTCACTTCGAAGGATTCCGTGAGCTTCCCGTTGTGGATTACTTGGCATGCAGCGTTGTCATACAACTGTTGGATGAGATGTATAATTGTCGGCGGCACCCCGTAGTAGCGAAGTAGTTTCCAAATCACCTCTCGATCGACGCTGTCAAAGGCCTTTTCAAAGTCGATGAAATTGAGATAGAGAGGTGACTGCCATTCCAAACTTTGTTCAATGATGATCCGTAGTGTGGCGATTTGATCAATACATGACTTGTTACTCCTGAATCCAGCTTGTTCTGGTCGAAGTTTTTCATCCAAGGCTTGTTTGATCCTTTCCAGGATGATGCGGCTTAGTATTTTGCTTGGGATGGAAAGGAGCATAATTCCGCGCCAGTTCTTGCATTGACTTAAGTCTCCTTTCTTTGGTAGTTTGAATAGGTATCCTTTCTTCCAATCCTCGGGTACTTTGCCTTCCTTCCACACCTTCTCCAGTAGTGGCGTCATCAGGTCTGCTGTTGTCTCTGGGTCGACTTTCAATGCTTCTGCTGGGATTCCATCTGGTCCTGCTGCTTTCCCAGCTTTCAGCATCTTGATTGCCTTCAGGACTTCTGATTTCGTCGGGGGGTTGATGTTCACTGGTAATTCTGCTTCCGTTGTTGGTATTGTTGGGCGCGTTGTAGGTGGCGGTCGGTTTAGTAGTCTTTTGAAGTGTTCAGCCCAGTGTTTCCTTTGCTCCATTTCTTTGGTGATTGACTTTCCATTTTCATCCTTCACTGGCTTAATTTGTGACGAATTTTTGCCTGAGAGGTACCTTGTTGTTTGGTGAAGTGTTGCGAGGTCTCCTTTGCCTGCAGCTTGTTCTGCTTCATTGGCCATGGTTTCATAATACTTTCTTTTGTCTTCTCTGGCACTCTTCTTTACTCCTTTGTTCAGTGTATTGTAGCTTACATTCAACTCCTGTTTCTGTTGCTCGTCGGTGCACTGCAGAATTTTTTGTTTCACCATCCTTCTCTCCTCTATTAGCCTCCAAGTGTCCGTAGTGAGCCACGGTTTGTCCTGTCTCTTCTTTCTGCCCAGAACTTCCATGCAGGTTTCGCTCCATACTGTTTTCAGGTTGTTCCAGTGTTTTTCGACGCTGACCTCTTCACCAGTGTTGATTTGTGTCTCGGCTTTGTCCTTTATACTTGCAGTAAAGATATCTTTTGTATCCTGGTCCTTTAGTTTTTGAGTGTTGAACTTGGCTTGTGGTCTATCTGCAGCTCCTGTTTCTCTGAAAGCCTTTAATTTGAGTTGGATTGTTCCTTGTACGAGGTAGTGGTCTGAGCCAACGTCTGCTCCTCTTCTTGCTTTTGTGTCCAGTAGGCTGCGCCGCCACTTCCTCGAGATTGTGATGAAGTCAATTTGGTTTTTGGTTCGCCCATCTGGTGACACCCATGTAGCCTTGTGAATATCCTTGTGTTTGTATACGCTGCCACCAATCACTAGTTCATTGAAGGCGCAGAAGTCGGTGAAGAGTTCTCCATTTTCATTCATCTCTCCCAGAGCTTCTTTACCCATGATGAGTTCCCTTCCTGTGTTGTCTGGTCCAAGTTTGGCGTTCATGTCTCCCATTAGTATTTTGATGTCACCGGCTGGAGTATTGTCTATTGCTGCCTGCAGTTGTCTGTAGAATTCTTCTTTCTTTTCGAGGTCTGCGTTGTTGGTCGGTGCATAGCATTGTATAATTGACACTTTCCTTCCTTTGGAGTTGAATCTGGCGGTTATTATCCTGGGTGAGATCGCCTCCCATTGTATCAGAGCCTTGGTTGCCGTTGGTGACATCATTATAGCCACGCCCTCGGTGTGTGTGTGGTTGTCTTCTGGGTGACCGGAGTAAATCACTGACTCACCTGTTGACAATTTGGTGAGTCCGTTTCCGTTCCATCTGCTTTCGCAGATCCCCAATACTTGTAGTCCGTATCTCCTCATTTCGCTTGCGATCTGGGCAGCTTTGCTAGTCTCGTACATGGTGCGGACATTCCATGTCCCCACACAGACTTTTTCTTTTGACGCAAGGAGACTGTTCACGCTGAAGTTTCTGTAGCAGGTTTGTTTACAGGGTGGGGTTGCTGGCCTCACGCCTGCTAATATAATTAGGGATCTTAATACAACACAATCTCCGTTTGTTTACTTCGTAATCAATAAGAACATTCATTGGCACCCTTAATTTATCACAAAACTTAAACACTATATAAGAGCTTGTCTGATTTTTCATTGAATAATCCTCCCTCTCCGCTTCCCGTTCGGGTTCCACTCTAGCGATGGCCTGGTATGTTATGTCACTTGATGGTTTGTTTTCTCAGAGTATGGCCTCCAATCCAACACTATTTCTTCCTGCAGATTTGTTGCACAATCGGTTCCTGATGGGTTAGTTGGCACCCAGAGATTTCTGTTGCTGATCTTTTCTGACAATACTCAAGATCAGATGGCCGGTTAGAAAAGATCAGCAACAGGGAGGGATCTCTGGGAGCGAACCAACCTATCAGGAACTGATTGTGCAACAAATCTGCAGGAAGAAATGGAGGTGGATTGGAGTCCATACTCTGAGAAAACAAACCATCAAGTGACATCACAAGACAGACCCTCGAGTGGAACACGAACAGGAAGCGGTGAGTTGGTCGTTGAAAAGTGACATGGAGGAAGTCATGTGAAGAGGAGATGAAAGCACGTGGGTAGACGTGCAGCCAGGTGAAAACGTTGGCGTAGAAGCGAACGCAATGAAGACGTGCGGCTGAAGCCCTATGTTCCTCTAGGAACTAAAGGAAACAATAATAATAGTAATCCCCCTTCCAGATATTTTGTTTTCAATAATGTCTGGTGTTCCACAAATATTCCTACTTCTTAGTTGTAGCATTAATCGGTTGAGTTAATTATCACCCTCCCCCACCCTTTAACATCAATTGACGTTGACTAATTATTATTGTTGTTAACAAACTGGAAAACTCCTTTTACTGTATTAAAATCGCCTTAAATATTAAAGTAGAGTCAATAATAATAATGATCCAATTGAGAAGTAAATATTTCCTCATTTGCAATCTCCTATTGTCTTTCTTGAAATCAACAAGGAGATGAAAGAGGAAACATGGCTGAATTTTTCACTCCGTCATCTTTGAGCATTGTTTAATTCACAACGCTTGTTGACTGATTCCTCTTTTCAGATATAGTTTCAATTAAACTGAGCGTGTCTGTTGCAAGGATGAATACGAGTAATTCTAATATTAGAAATGATGAGATCCCATCACCAAAAAACTTTAATTCCTTTCGTACACAGGTAAGTCCGTTAAACTGAATGTTGGAAAGCATATTGTGCATTTATTTATTTATTTATTTATTATATAAATATGAGTTTGTAGTTGAAAGTAGCTATTTACTCGAATAGAACTCAGAACAGGATGATTTTTAGTACACAATGGTCTTCGATGACTTCTTCTCCTGCAGGCTCTTTACACAGTTATAAATCCATGAATCCATGAGAATACAACAAATAGCCCCAGCCAGTAAAGGCAAATGCATATTGTGTCAGAATCTCTGTTGAGGTAGACGGATAAGATGGAATGACAATCCACAAGATAGATAACATTGTCAGCGGAATGTATGTATATAAAGTGTACAGACATTCAGAATATGAGATAAAATGTGAATAGAAGATAACTGGGGGGGGGGGTGACATACTTACTAATGTATTTATAGTCCACAGGATGTAAGTTGCATTAAGGGGTTGGGGTGACTTGCATTCAGTGGTGTGAGAGAACTATGATTACCATAAAATACGTACAAACAAATTGCAACAAATAGGGAAGACTGAATGTAAGTTCAAGCAAGGGCTGACAGATAACAAGTGTAGTGATAAAATAAAAAGGTTAGATTGTGAACTTTGATGAACTACTACAGAAATGATAAGCTTTGGTGTCAATTACAAAGGTTGACACACATAATAAGGATGATAATGATGGGATGAAGTAAACTCGGTGATAAGGAACAGGAAAGGCCTAATGTAACATGAAAATGTGAGGTGATTATGTCCCTGATGACCTTCTAGTAGTTCAGGGCAAACCAAGAGGATGAATGTGCTGTTTTTGCATACATAGGTGACTAATATCAATGACTAATGCTTTGCCTTATTCCAAAACAAAAATTATGATACAGTGTGGAATTCTCAGCATTTGCTACATCACCCACAACATTTAATGAAACATTTGACAAATAATGAGATTGCATCAGTTAGAGAACCATTGAAAAACCAACTGGGAGTACTGCCAGACAACTGTTTTGGCCTAGTTTGGGACTCTTCATTAGTACACACCCACTGACAGGGTTCGAACCCACGACCTTCTGGTTAAAAGGTAATCTCGTAGACCAATACTTGAAAATTAATCTGATGCTCACTAGTGACTGGCCCTATTCAGTCAGTGAGCTGGGGTTCTAGTGGGAAGCCGTGACCAGTAGAGTGCAGCAGGTTGAAGATGAGACAGTAACTCATCGAAGAAGACATTCCGAAGTGGTCGTGCTATGTGTCATAAATTGGCAGAAGTTAGAATTCTTGGGCTGGCCATCGGATCGGGTCCCAGTGGCTGAATGGTCTACAAGCTCGCCATGTAACCAGAAGGTCCTGAGTTCGAACCCTGTAATTCATGAGGTGAGTTTTAGTTTCCCTTCTAATCTGTTTGCTACGCAAGCAAGATGGAAGGTGACTACAAATGAATTATTGGGAAAAGTAGCTGCTTCTTTATTCTTACTCTGTAAGAAAAAAATGCTCGTTACAAAATCATAACTGTGCATCGGGACATCTTTTGTTTCTACAGATATTGAATGCCTTAAAATATGTGGAGCCCAAATTGAAATCAGCTAATGTATCGTGTGATATCCTTATGCGAAAAGCATCAAAAACTCCAAAACCTGGCAATATTCAAGTCTTAATTAGGCTATCAAGTATTGAGATGAAAAAGGTATTCAATTCTGCAGAATGGTTCGGTATTCTTAAAAACACACTGTTGTCTGCTAATGTAATCGGACTCAATGACACAAGATCATATCGTAAGTGTATAACTATTACTCACCTCGATCATGATTATGTAAAATAGAATTATTAAAATTATAAATTTTCATTTTGTTTATTGTTATGCGGCATAACTCAACATATTCCATCAAATTCCACTAATACAGAGAAACAGTTGACGTCTCTCTCTCTCCCTCTCTGATAAACTGACACGATGCTTTCAGATGACAAGTATTTGTAGATGGTATGACATTTTCGGTGGCACAGTGGTTAGGAATCTCGCCGACCATGCACATGGCCCGGGGTTCGATCCCCTGCCGATGCACACACACCTGATATCAATGGTCGGTCTGCAAAATTTAGGCTACCGATATCATATGCTGAAAATTCCTTACTTGTACCAAAAATACGATGGAGAATCAAGCTACAATCAAAAAATAAATAAATTAGCGAATAAATTTATAGTTCAACGAAGATGTACTCTTCTTTAGCCAATATCATTCACAAGTTTTACAATCCCATGTAGAAATAATACCTTGTCTTTACAACAATAGGGATGCTTCCAAAAATGTATCATTAAAAGTAATACGGATATATCGAAACAAAATTCACTAAATAAAATGGGTGATTGATACAACCATATTTGAAAAGAATGAGTGAGTGAGTGAGTACAGTTCAACTAAATTTGAATGCAGTTCAAGTGAAGATCAGTGTCATAAGAAGTAGAAGTGTAATAGTTAGTGGGAAGGGTAACGAGAAGAAAACTCAATTAAATTAATGATTACACATCAAATGTTGAGATAAACCAAGTTCAATGAATGAACCAGCTTCCGGTATATGTGCTTGGTTCAGGTTTCAACGTGTAAATTGTCTTATCTAGCGTATTTCGAAGAAATTTGATTCGTACACCCTCGACAAGATACCCATACATTCTGTAGGTGTGTGTGTGTGTGTGAAGTTAATTTACCCGTTCACTTGATGTCCTAAATCGATCAGATATTCTAGAATACATCTATGTGGTAACATTTTTTCCTCCCTCGCATTATATTAGCAAACACTTGTGTACTCTGTGCATGTAGGTTTGGGTGTGTGTGTAGTCAGTTCTTATGCATTTCCTCATAGTGTATGCAAATGAACTAGATAATCTCTGAATGCAGGTTTCTACTGATACCAGTTTCATCTCGGTTGCTAACTCTCCCAGTATGCATAAATGACAAACCTTTCTTGAGATAGAAATCAAAACGGTCAGATTACAAAATGTATTCCCTATTTAAAACAGTTAGTCTGTCACACACGGACTTCTCATAGGAGTACATATAGATGAAATTATTAAAGATTTAAGAGGTGAGAAAATAGACTACTTAGGTCAAGTTAAAATGACATGTTGAAGGTCAAAATAACAATGAAGATCACTAAACCAAATAACAGAGGTAATAGTGTAACAACAGAAGACAAGGGCCAGGCAACATATCGTTTATTAAAGAAAATCAACACATATTTATAGATTTTAATGTACATTATTATAGATTATTTTTAGTAGGAAATACAGTCTTTTGATTGGTTGTTTCTCACAAAAGGTTAACCTTGCATCTCTTGCGGCTATGTCAGATCATCCATATTCTAACTGTATCCGCCTACGCAAAGCCTTTGTTCTCATTTTCTCACCACCAATATTAGGGACATAAACATTGACGTCAATTACTGTCTACCAACTTTGGCTAGCAGCCAGCTCTCACCACAATAGTACATCTGCTATGGTATCAAAACAAAATTTACCAAGGAAGGTGGCTTAGTGTGATGACGAATTGTTTTGAACGCATAAAGGTGGTTTAAACTTTCTAATTGTCAGCTAAGGCTTCCACAAACTGTTAACGTCAATTTTATGTCCTGTCTCTATAATATGTTTCGTAGTAGAAGAGCTAGGTCTCCTGTCCTCACCATTAATGGGTTCTGAAGATTCCATTTGTTTCTGGAGCCATTTAGGAATATGCTCTGAAGCCCTTACTTGCAGAGATCGATGAGTCCTCCCTATGTATGTGTGTCCACACGTACATTCAAATTGGTAAATACAGTGGGATGTGACATCATTTTTCTCATGTTCAAAGGGCTTAGATGGATGGATAATGATTCACATTCTCGATTATTATGATATTAGCTGCATAAAAAGTCTTTTTAACAGCAGCGTTCAATCTTTGTCTAGTTATCAAGCTGCTATGATGCCCCAAATAGGGTAGCTTGATGTACACGTCTTTCTTAGGGGCGAGTTAGAAAGTGGGTCTTGGTGTTCTGACTACTTCATATCTCCTGATGAACTTGTCTGGATAATTGTTATCAACCAGAGTTTGTGTCAACTTTCTTTCTTCTTCATCAAGTGTGTCTGTCTTCAGTGCATATTCGTTGGATTCTACTGAAGAGGCACCTTACTAAGGCTCTTTTGTACCGAACATGGCAGAAACTGTGGTAATTAAGATACTGTCCTGTCCAGGTAGCTTTTCTATAAATAGATAACTTTACTGACCCATTAAGCCGTCGACTAAGCAATATGTCTAGGAAAGATAAACAATTATCTTCCTCTTCTACAGCCAGATGTAAGTGATATGCTATTCTGAACTTCATTCATTCGATTTAAAATTGAGGTGGCAGAACAAGACTTATCACTGATGATTACAATATCATCTACCCTTAACTCTTTATTAATATCATATATATTCCCATGACATCTCCGTGTGTGATCAGATCGTTCGAAATGTGTTGCGCCAAATACAACATTACACAGACGATTCAGACAAATAACGTCTTCTTATTGCTTTATCTATATTCACTATTACCATATTTGTTCACCCATGGATTCATTGAATATGACAGCTGAACTATACTATGAATGAAGAGAACAAATCCTGAGGATTATTACATCGGCTTGTAGGCAATGTTAACACTGATACTTGATACTTTCGTGTTGACTACCATACGAGGTAATGTGCTTGATTTCGAAAATATGTCTAAAACAACTTTCAGTAGTTCCCTAATTTTCTATTGTTAGTTTGTAAGGGTTAGTTTTGCTTTTACGGGTTGATCACTGATTGATATCAGTTAGAGAACCATTGAAAACTGGCACTAGATTACTGGACAGCTGTTTCATCCTAGTTTGGGAATCATCGTCAGTACGCACCCACCGCAGGGGGTTCGAACCTAGGACCTTCCGGTTACAAGGCCATCTAGCTCGTATACCATTCAGCCACTGGGACCTGATTGAATGGCCAGTCCATGAGTTCTAACTTATTCATGATTTACCGTGATCCCTTATTTGTCATAAGGTGTTTCAGCTGAAGTTTGTGTAAAAGGTAGGTAGTCGACCTGAAGACAAATCCATTTTTCACAAATCTCGTAGCACAGAAATTACCAATTCATGTTTCCCTCCTGTGAATAAATGAAGGTGTTATTCTTTTCTCTTCAGAAATACTTTCTGTAAATGGTGAGTATCAACTGATTTTCTTGTAAAACTAAATGAACAGTATATTGTAATATTATCAGATTTACCAGGATTTCGAATCACTCCAACCACAGTTTATCTGACTTAGAAAATCTTTGAATGCATTAACATATCCTTGTCTATTTATATATTTCTAAATCTGAAATTCTTCTTTGAAAGTATCTATTTGCTTGACAGATTGAAATGCATCTCAACTGACCGTCAAACTTCTATAATCGATCACATATACCAATGTAATATCACTAGACTGACTAGTGCACATCTGTCATCCAAGCAAATTATCCCACAGAGCATAGTGCAGTGAAGTATCACTTAGTTCACGATATTGATATTTTGTACCGAAACACGTGTGCGTTCAGATGAGAATATAATGAATATTCTACATCACACTGATATTGGAAGAATCACAAAAGGTATGGATGAGCCAACTGACAAGCATGATGAACTATTGGTATTAAATGGTTGGAGACAATCGGCAGGAAGCCCTACCTGACCTAGGTTTCGTGTTAGTTGGCACTCATCAGCAGGGCGTATCTGCAACCTCAATGTCTGCACCGGAGATAGGACTAGACATACGACACTAGTTTCTGACTAGTGTCAAATCGAAAACATGATGAACTATTTCCTCGAGAGTTATCCATTTCATGATTCAAAGGAAAATCAGCTCTCTAGGTGATGAAGCATCTAGATATAGAGATTCTCAATACATAATGTCATTTTGAGATGAATTATGCTCAAGGTTTTCATTGATTTTGAAGTGAAATTTCAAATTACATATAACCATATTGTTTTTGATTTGAGTAATATTTTGTCATCAAAGTGTTCTATTGGGGAGAATTTCATCAGATTGATGGGGATCGTTGTCAAGATATCGACAGTCAATGATTGACTATAATTATGCTTTTTACTGTGGCCTTACACTGGCTGACTGAATCCTTAAAGATGAGGTCAGTATTCATGAGTGTCCATTTCGAAACTAGGAGGAGATGGCAGTCTATATTTACAAGAGTTGATTTGTAAGGATCAGATTTGATTTTACGAGTTTGACAACGCATTGATATCAGTTAGAGAACCATTGAAAGCCAGCGAGGAGTACTGGAGAGCTGTTTCATCCTAGGCTTTGGAAATCATCAGTAGTACGTACCCACCGCCGGGGTTCGAACCCAGGATCTCCTGGTTACAAGGCAAGCTTGTTTACCATTTGGGCATATTTCCCTCTGACTGGCTAATATCATTTTTTCCCTACGATTTATTCCGTTCCTCACAAACAGAATATCGAAGACACTTCTCCTGGAAGAATTAAATATGTTGTGTTTTCTGTTGGAGGGAGTAGTGGAAAGAATGAAGACAATCGCCCTTCCCGACTCATAGAAATATATTGTCTTCTGTAGAATTGAAGGAACATCACAAATACAGCTCCGTTATCACATCACTCTCTCTGATTTTCAATGTTTTGATGAATGTTATATGCTGTGATTTACCGGAGATGTGGTCATCTTATTGTAAGCCATTACAACCACTTGGTTGAACAACACCAACGTTTTCTGCATCGTAGATTTATCGCTATCCATCCACATGTTTAAATTTATGAGATA